TCTCTCTCTCTCTCTCTCTCTCTCTCTCTCTCTCTCTCTCTCTCTCCCGTGCCTGCTCTTTAATTGTAGAGGCCCATTTTTTCAAGCTCCGTCCCACACGTCGCAACGGAAAAGTGGTGGGAGACCGAGGCAACGCATCCGGAAAGCTATGGATTAAGGGAATCAAGTAAGTTGATACAACACTTCAGCATGCATCTTTCACTTCAGCATGCATCTTTCACTCGTGGTGTGGGCTCACAATGGCAGTCGCATGTGTGTTTCACCGACAGTGTGGGCGCGCCATGGGGTGCATGCATTTATGTCACCCGCAGCGTGGGCGTGCCATGACAGTCGCATGCATAATTCACCAGTGTGGGTGTGCCATGACAGTCGCATGCATAATTCACACTGGAAGTCCTGTTAATTGGTGGTCCTCACTTCTTTTTCCCTTATCTGTTGGGCAGGACTCCAAAAAAAGAATTCTACTTTGTGACTAAGATATGCCTGGATAACATCCGGTCGGGGGGGGGGCTGCTCCTTACTACGAAGTGCTACCTTCTGGCCAAACGTGCCTTGCTGGCAAATATTTGGCGGAGCAAGCGGGACAATGGACAAACATCACAACTCAGCAGGGTGGTAAACTTAAGCGCTACAGCTTTGTGGCATCATCTTCCATTCAGGGATTAAAGGCAGATGTGAAAAAGAGCATTCGAGTTTACTTAAATACCTAGGTTGGAGCTAATATTGTGTCTCATCCAAATAACAACTATGCACTTTGTAGGCCGGTGAAGAAGTAGAGATGTTTAGTGCACAGTTTTGTGCCTTCATCCATTTGCTTAAGTGATTTCTCTAGGTTTGCTGCTGCTCGCAATATGAACTTGGATCCGTAGGCCGAAACCTGCTCGGGACTAATCTGAGTTTTTTTTAAAATATTTTTTTTAGGATGCAATACACTAATCTGAGTATGTATGACAACACATACACATGTTGGTGTCCACGTATGCTAATTTTGACAAGTGGTAGTGCCAGTTGGTTGCTTCGAAGTGTGTGAGTGCCCAATCAGATATTGGTGCGGCGGTTTCCCCTGATCTTGAAACTTGGCCATTCAGTGACCCCAATGGAGGTTCGGTTCAGTAGCCTTGGCGCTGACCCCTCTTGTTTCTGAAGGACGGCCGTTCACCAACCTTATAAGGGATTCGGACTGAAGCCCAGATTCGGTACTCACTGTTCACCTTGGTTCGTACAGTCGGTGCTCATTTCAAGAACACCAGGTAGGCGGGCGGCATGTGCGTGAAACGAGTTTGGGGCATTTCGTCATGTTCGCCCTTGTCGCCACGGGCAAAATTGTGATTGTAAAATGAAATTGGAATTTGAAACGAGTCCGGGGGTTTAAGTTCGTAACCAGGTAAACAATTCTGATGACGGGCAATCGCTGTTGTTTATGAACTGTAGATGTTTTTCTTCCGCAACTTGGTGACTGTACCCGAAATCAGCACAATCACCACTCACAGGGAAAACGTTCGCGAGTGACTAATTTTCTAATAGTGATAAGCAAATTTTTGTGATAGGCTGAGCATCGACTGTAATGTGCAAAAGCTATTTACAATGCCCAAATTTCTCAACTGTGCTGGTTCGCTTCGGTCCGCAGCGAAAGGCCCGATTCCTCGAGGGAAGCGTCGGTTTGGTTACACCACGGCTGTGCACTCCGTGGCTAAGATACAGGTTCGGAGTTCCTCTGGGTTTTGGTTGTGTAAGGGATATGCTCGGGCATCTTGTGTGGTTGCGCTCTCGTCTCGGTCACCAACCAATTCCGGAGCAGGGTGTGGCTGGCCAAACAAGATTCTGCAAAGGCTGTGATAAGGTTATTGGTTCGGAAGGTGTTTGCGCTGCAGCATTCGCCCATTTCCTCCTCGTCACATTCGTGATTCGTCGTCACATTCCCCACGACAGGAAACATGCTATGGTAGGCTACGCGTTTGCTGGCAGGAGCGACGGCATCCACGCTGTGCGAGTGCGAGTGATCGAAGGCATGACGTTGCACTCCACTCTGCAGTGTCCGGATTGCGCGGGGAGAGCGTCAGTATGTGCTGTACCAAACTAGAATCGCCGCTTTGCGTATATCCCGTCATGTCCTTTCTTTGTTCTCGTCGTTACCCCAGCTCTTGACCAGTCCTCTCACGAATCCTCCTAGTCTAGCTGCGCCTTCAATGCGCGTCATAATCGGCCCCCTCTTCCGCATCCTCCGGTAACGTTATCACTACTACTGGAGACGGCACCTTGTCAGTAGTATGGCGCGCTTCTTCCTCGCTTCCGACCCAGCGATTGAGCAGTATTTCGCGATGCTAGACTCTGCAGCGAGTTCGGCGTATCATAAAGACGAAGAGGACGCGTGGGAGTACGCGTGTCGCGAAGGCATCCGCTCCAGCCACGGCCACTTTTTCCGAGACTTTGAGCCGAGAGCGTTTGAGTCGACTCGAAAGCTGCACCGAGAAGGGATTCGGTCCAGCCATGGCGGCTCCTATTTCCGCGACATTGAGTGGAAACCCGCCCCGATAGCCGATCGAACCTCAGGTGAGCGAGCGCCTCTCGCCTCTGCGTTCGATTATCGCCCGCAAGCGATCCTAGTCGTCCCTCGCATCTAGTGATTGCCTACTACTAGTAGTGCTATAGCAGCTTGACATTTCACAGCACTTGTTTAACTCGCGTCCTTCTCGGGTGCGACACTGATCGTTTTCTGTTTCTCCCGTTTCGACTCTCATCCTCCCCATTCGTCGTTCGCATCTACACAGAGTCGGCGCACGGCGGCATGCGCCCCCATAGGGAATCCGCGCGCAAACGCTGGGCCGGCGAAAGCTTCGCACTCGCGGGCTCCGGCACGACAAGCCGCGGCGGCACCAGGAGACGCCCCCTGCAGGCATATGGAGCCGCCATTTTTCGAGTTTCTGAGGCCTCCGAGGTCTCGAGTGACAGCCGCAGCGGCAGCGCCGAGCCTTCCTATCTGGCCAATCAATCATCGACTGCAGGTTTTACTGGCACCGCGGAACCTTCGTCTGCCAGACGATCAATCACCTGCACCGCTCCGCCGGCTGCTGGTATCAGTCAGGCAACGGGTAGCCATCAGGATTCACCCAAGAGCCCGTTGCTGTTCGTGGCCGGTCGTTCTCCCTCTGAATCGTCTACTGCTAGCAGCAGCGAATCCACTCCCAGCGAGTTGTCCTCCGTTGGGAGAATGGCCACAGCTGGTACGGAGTTCAAGGGCAGGATAAAGGCGGGAGATTGCGCAGTGAAGGTGCTAGGCGGAGCGAATCCCGCAGCTGTTGAGCTTTACTTCAAGCGTAAGGCGCACGAGAGAGCGCGCGCTGTTGGTCAACCTGCGAGTGTTCTTACCGCTGTTAGCGGCAGCTGAATCGCTCAATTTTCTATGGACTGTAGTCCATACGCATTTTTCCCGGTTTCATTTTTCCGAATTGTAACCAGTTGCTGAAGCATATGCATACCTATTATGTATATTTATAAACATATTTATTAGGAGTGAAAATGTAAACATATTATTTACAACTTATGTTATGGGTGCAATGGAGTGGAACTAGATAGCGAATGGAACCAGCTGCTCTGCAACAATCGCCTCAACCCCTTCACTCCATGCGGCACAGGGATTGGGATGACGAATCCCACCCCCACCTCGTTCTCTCCAGCAACCACAGTGCTCTGCAGCAGCCCACCACTGATGCGCACCTCAACCACTCTCAACCACTGCCTACCACCCACAGAGCCTCCTGAAACATGTCAGAGACTACGTGTTAGTTCTTGCAGCGGTGATGCTCTGCAACATCCCGTCTCTGATCTGAGCAGCAATATCAGCCGCTGCGCCTGGTCCATGAGGCACAAAGACGGTGGATGAGCGGTTGTTGGCGCCGATGTCCCTCATGGTGTCGAAATACTGGGTCAGCATCACCTGTGTGTTGCGGGGGGGGAGGAACAAGCAAAGGGTGAGGCACAGGCAGCACGAAGATGGTGGATGAGCGGTTGTTGGCGCCGATGTCCCTCATGGTGCCGAAATACTGGGTCAGCATCACCTGTGTGTTGCGGGGGGGGAGGAACAAGCAAAGGGTGAGGCACAGGCAGCACGAAGATGGTGGATGAGCGGTTGTTGGCGCCGATGTCCCTCATGGTGCCGAAATACTGGGTCAGCATGACCTGTGTGTTGCGGGGGGGGAGGAACAAGCAAAGGGTGAGGCACAGGCAGCACGAAGATGGTGGATGAGCGGTTGTTGGCGCCGATGTCCCTCATGGTGCCGAAATACTGGGTCAGCATGACCTGCGTGGGGGGAAAGAAGAACACAGCAAAGCAAGATGACCTGACAATCTGTTTGCGCTGATGTCCGGCGCTGCTCCTGGCCCGTGCAGCACGAAGATGGTGGATGACTGGTTGTTGGCTCCTATGTCCCGCATTGTGTCGAAATACTGCGTCAACATACATACCCACCCGTTCTCTTACCATACTCTCCCCCTCGTCTCACCATATCAAGCACGTCTTTGGCTGTGGTGCCAGGCACTTGTTCCGAGAACCCCAGCACGCTGTCTCTCAACCCGTCCACGATAGCCTGTCTCTGTCTCGCCACGCCCACGCCTGCCAGGTACTTCGCCTCTGCCTCTCCTTCTGCTTTCTTCACCTGCCGTGCGAGACAAACGAGATGGTTAAACATTCAGAGCCGCATGAAAACGATTTAGCAAGCCGCGGAAGATGTGTCGAAAAAAGAGTGAGAAAAAGGAGAACAGTGGGAGCAAACTGCAAGAGAAGTGGCAAAGAGGAGTTAGAGAAAGGAGAAAAGTGGGAGGAAATTGGGAGGATAGCGGCCAAGAGCAATGCAATGTGTGTGTCAGTGCATTACCTGCAGAATTTTCTCTGCTTCTGCTTTCTCCTGTGTGGCCATGCGGATCCGCTGGGCTGCAGGGAGGATTGGGGGAATGGAGCGTGCGTGAGCGGCTGAACACAACGTCAGATGGAAACAAACAAGGCACACTACATGCGTAATCTTCTTCAACAGCAATCTGCAAACGCATGTCCACCTGACATTTATTTGTGCCACCAATCTCTTAATTTTCAACTTTAAGGTACGCTTCACACCCACTATCAACGTTTTCACCACATGCACATTCACATACGTATGAAATAGACACATCCGGATATAGGTGTGTACATTATCTACACTCTTACCAGCATTGATCTCGTTCATGGAGGCCTTCACTCGGTTGTCCGGCTCCACATCTACTATCAGCGTTTGCACACCCACATTCACATTCTGCCACATTCATTATCTGCACTCTCACCTGCATTGATCTCGTTCATAGCAGCTTTGACCCGGTTGTCCGGCTCCACATCAACAATCAGGGACTACACAATGGGGTAACCATACGAGGAAAGCTGATTTTTTAGAATTCTCACCTGCATTGATCTCGTTCATAGCAGCTTTAACCCGGTTGTCCGGCTCCACATCCACTATCAGCGTTTGCACGATGCGGTAACCATACGTCCTCATCGCCTGCTCATTACAACCGGAGAGGGGGAAACGCACATGGAAGGGAAGAGACAAGTACTTGAGCTATTTGAATTCTTACTACTTACGCCCTAATCCTCGACTCGAAGTGCAAGTGTCACACACACGAATGAATACATTCAAAGCGAACAAAGCCGTGTGAACTGAAAACGGGCATGTTTGCACGCTTTCAATTTATTCATCTGTGTGTTAAACTTCTTCTCACCTCCCCATTTCCCCTATCACTCCCCTCCCCTCATCTCCCGCCGACTCAACTCCACTCCCACGCCCCTTTCCCAACCTTGCTCCCCCTCTCACGCCCGCTCCTCCCTCACCTTCTCAAGCTCCTCCTCTGTCAGAACATAATTCTTGTCTAGTCTGTAGTGGGGTACTCAATAGTGAGTATAACCCTTTTGGGCTTGCTATTTGTACTCCGCTTCTTTCTAGTTCAACCACCTTTCCTCTTCTACTGCTTGTACTTCTCTTTCGTGTACCCTAAACCTAGCTATGGCTTCTTAGTCTTAGCTACTATTTTGTCATGGAATCAGAGCGGTTACGCTCTTGGCCTGTGGGCCCCACGTGCTTCCGCTGCTTTCCTGTCTGTCGCGCGCCCCGTGGCGCGCGACGCCTTAAATTCTTCCTGCCGCGCGTTCGGGTCGCGCGGCGGTTCGCTGCTCCGTTGCAGCAGCCCCGCCCGTCACCCCCGCTGCCCCGTCGTGGCGCCCTGGGGAGCCGCGCGCGACCCCGCAGCCACGTCGCGGCGCCCTGGGGAGCCGCGCGCGACCCCGCAGCCATGTCGCGGCGCCCTGGGGAGCCGCGCGCGACCCCGCAGCCGCGTCGCGGCGCCCTGGGGAGCCGCGCGCGACCCCGCTGCCCCGTCGCGGCGCCCTGGGGAGCCGCGCTCGCCCCCCTCCCGCTGCCTCGTCGTGGCGCCCTGGGGAGCCGCCCGCCGTCCCCCGAATCGCTTACGGATCGCCCCCCCACTCCCCCCCGCTGCTGCCTTTGTTAGGGTTTGGGGGTGGCGCATGTGGGGGTGGCGCGTATGGGGGTGCTGGTTGTGTGCTCCGTCCCCTGCTCCTCCTCCTCCTTCGTCTCCCACTGCTACAGCTGCCGCTGAGGGGGGTGGATGTGTGGGAGCCGAGGGTTAGGGTTTAAGTGGGGGTGGCGTGTGAGTGGGGCTAGGGATGCAGCAAAGGGGTGTGTGATAGGGGGGTGTGGGACTGTTAGGGGGGGGGAGAGTGGAGGTCGCTGTCGTGTCGTCTGCAGCGCCTGTAGTCCGGAGCCGTCGTGCTCTCGGTAGCCCAGCGAGCCTGCTTCGCCAGTCGCCTGTGGGTCAGTTGCTCCTGTGTGTGCTCGTCGTAGCCGCGGAGCCAGATACTCCCGTAGTCCGGTGCCCTCGTGCGCTCGGTAGCCACTGTGCGCGCCGCTCCTGTTGCCCGTTGTGTCTGCAGCTTCGCCCGTCGCCTGCAGCAGATCGCCCCCCACAGTTTCTCCTCCTCCTCACTTGCCCTCTGTGTTAGTCTCTAGCCTTTGCTTATCACTATGATCTACAGCTCTGAATGCTTGTTGTGCTGGCTGTACCCCACCTTGACTATGGGGGTGTGTCAGAACATAATGCTTGTCTAGTCTGTAGTGGGGTACTCAATAGTGAGTATAACCCTTTTGGGCTTGCTATTTGTACTCCGCTTCTTTCTAGTTCAACCACCTTTCCTCTTCTACTGCTTGTACTTCTCTTTCGTGTACCCTAAACCTAGCTATGGCTTCTTAGTCTTAGCTACTATTTTGTCATCCTCCACAGTGTGAGCGATCTCGTTCTTCACCTCAAACACACGGTACTCTTCAGTACACTGGCGCGCACCTCCGCTGACCTTCCACCTCCCTGCCCTTCCACCTCCGCTGCCCTTCCACCTCCGCTGCCCTTCCACCTCCCTGCCCTTCCACCTCCGCTGCCCTTCCACCTCCGCTGCCCTTCCACCTCCCTGCCCTTCCACCTCCGCTGACCTTCCACCTCCGCTGCCCTTCCACCTCCCTGCCCTTCCACCTCCGCTGACCTTCCACCTCCCTGCCCTTCCACCTCCCTGCCCTTCCACCTCCCTGCCCTTCCACCTCCCTGCCCTTCCACCTCCCTGCCCTTCCACCTCCCTGCCCTTCCACCTCCGCTGCCCTTCCACCTCCGCTGCCCTTCCACCTCCCTGCCCTTCCACCTCCGCTGACCTTCCACCTCCGCTGCCCTTCCACCTCCCTGCCCTTCCACCTCCGCTGACCTTCCACCTCCCTGCCCTTCCACCTCCCTGCCCTTCCACCTCCCTGCCCTTCCACCTCCCTGCCCTTCCACCTCCCTGCCCTTCCACCTCCCTGCCCTTCCACCTCCCTGCCCTTCCACCTCCCTGCCCTTCCACCTCCGCTGCCCTTCCACCTCCCTGCCCTTCCACCTCCGCTGACCTTCCACCTCCGCTGCCCTTCCACCTCCCTGCCCTTCCACCTCCGCTGACCTTCCACCTCCCTGCCCTTCCACCTCCCTGCCCTTCCACCTCCCTGCCCTTCCACCCCCCTGCCCTTCCCCTTCTCCCCCCCCCCCTGTCACTCCGCTCTGCTCACCTTCTCAAGCTCCTCCTCCACTGTATGAGCGATCTCATTCTTCACCTCAAACACACGGTCCAGATCCATGTTGGGTACACTGCGCGCACCTCTCCCTCTGCCCCTTCCCTGCTCCCTACCCTCCATCCACCCTCACTCCCCACTCACCTTCTCGAGCTCCTCCTCCACTGTGTGAGCGATCTCATTCTTCACCTCAAACACACGGTACTCTCCGGAACAATTGTGCGCACCTCTGCTGCTCCCCCTGCCCTCCCCTCCCCCCCTCCCCCAC